GGGTTTCAGCTGCAGCTGTTGCTGGAGTGCAGCCTCTCTGAGAAGGCTGTGGAGGTGGCAGAAGCTGCAACCAGGCGCTTCAGCGTGTCCGTGGACATGTGGCAGATGAGGCTGCAGGTGCTGATCCAGCTGAAGAGGGAAGATGTGACCCAGTGTTTTGAAGAAGCCATTAAACACGTGAAATCCAAGGTCTGTGCTGGTTTATGGACTTGCATGTCATAGGCCAGAAACCTCTGATGCTTGGTTGCTTGAGTTTTTTTTTCCTTCACAAGGCATTCAAAGTCCCTAAGAATTTCTAAGGTCAGATATATGAACTCGACATTCCACATGCACATTGCATTGCCGAGTATCAGGAAACTGTAAACTCACTTCAGAGTCACAGGTTTAAAGTCTGAATGCTCACAGGTGACATTTTGCATACCCTCCTAGCAGTGAGCTGGTATTCTTTGGGTCTTACTTGAAAAATGTGCTTCCTTTTATTCCCTGTACCACACACATTGTGTGTGTGGTATTTCAAGCCTTGAATTAGATGGGAGTTCTACTGTTCCATTTCAAACCCTGGGCACAAGGAATGAGGAGAAGAAACAGGAAGGTGACTGTTTCTTCTTGTTCTTGGAAGTTCCCTTTGTACTGCAGTGCTCAGTGATGCAGAACAACTTGTCTCATCCCTGGCTACGCTGCTGTCCAGCTAAGCAGTGTTAGGAAGGAGATGGGAAGTGATTTCAGGGTGCAGCCCAAAGTTGTCTTTCCAAGAGCTGTGCCTAAAGGACAGCAGCTAATACAGAACCTGGAGGATGCGTTGCTGTCTGTGCCTGTCAATCAGTGGCTGTATTTTAGGCATTTGGTGTATCTGCTCACCTTGTAGGGCACTTTGGCACTGTGGACCCTCTGGGTGGAATGGAGCGAAGGCACGAACAGCAAGGAGGACACAGAAGCTCTCTACCAGGTACTGGGCTAATCAAAATCTACTTTTATGTCTGTGTAACTAAATGGGAACAATGGGTGTGGATGGAACATGTAACAAATGCTTTATACAGCAGTTCTGTCATGGATGTGTTGATTATCAAAGCATTTCAAGCAAAACCGTGTGTGTTACCAAAAATCAGCTGGACACAGGCTTATGGGCACAAATGTCATTCCCCTTCTTCTGAGACAGAGATGTTTGTAAGCACAACCAGTGATGTACTCTTACTCTGCGATCTAGAATTGTTGTTGTTTCAGCACCTGTCCGAACACAAGAGAGAATTTTACAGTCTCTTTGAAAACATCAGTCTTGTTATAGAAAACTCAGGATCAGAACTGGGACTTTAATCTCACTATAAATTTCCTCAACATCTTAGTGCAAAACACTCCCTTTCTGCCTGGCATGTTGGGTAGTGGGGTTTTCCCCCCTTTTATAAGATAAAACACGTATTTCAGGTGGAAACTTGAATTCAGCTGTTTTGTAGAGCATTGTGAAACCCTCTGCATGAAGGGTGTTAAGGGAATGCCAGTTGCCAGCTGTGTGGAATACTGGAGGAGAAATGTATTTTAGACTTAGGAGATCTGCTATATTTCAGCTGCCTGATGAGGGAGAAGGTACTGTTTGCTTTTGTCTCCCTTGTTGCCTTTCAAGTGTAGGTATGTGGTTGTTTTATTTTTTTGTGTGTTTTTCTTCCTCTTAAACTTGCAGAGATCCTTATGCGCCACAACTCCTGCTGAATCTGTGACTATGAAAGAAATGTATCTCGACTGGACTTACAGAAGTGGTGGTTATAAGAAGGTTAAAAAAGTCTTTACCAGGTAACAAATAAAACCCCCAAACCAGATTGTTCTAGGGTGTGTGCTAAAAGACTTGAAGTCTGAAGGTACTTGTCTTATTTCAGCCTGTGTGAAAATCGTCCCTTTTCGCTTGAGTTCTTCAGGAAGATGATCCAAATAGAAAAGGAGCAAGTAAGTTGTTGAATATCCAGTTAGTGCCTTGTATTTGTAAAATACACTTCTCACTTTGGATCTGACTAGGACACAGAATGGTGGTGTCAGTCTGTGATCAGCTTGTGTTTGTCTTCACAAGTTGATTCGCAGGAGGTGATAGGAGCCCAGTTCCATGGTAACTAATCTTGGGCAGTGTGTGTGCGTGTAATTGCCATGACTCTCCTCCTTTGTAAGGATCTAATCAAGCTGCAGATTCACTTCTGTACAAAATAAATGGCCTTTTAATACCTTCCTTTGTTAGGAATCCTGCAAAATGCTTCATCTGAGAGAATACTATGAACGTGCCTTGAGGGAGTTTGGTTCCACAGATACTGGTAAGGGGATTCTATTATTTATTTATTTATTCATTTATTCATTCAGTCAGTGCTGCCTCTTATTTCCACCCATTTGAAAAGGTAGCTGTTTGTTCTGCCCTTGTGCTTGCTGTCATGCAGGGCAGAGCTTATTTCTTCTGTGCTGTTAAGTGTAGGACGCTGCAGTGACCCTCCACTGTCAGCCCAGGGTCATTGGCACTGGGATGGCTTTGGCACCACTGGGAGCACATCAGGTCTTGACACTGGCATTGTTGCATTTTTTGTCAAGACATCACTGTTCCAGCTGGGAATAGAACCCAGGGTTTTGCTCCTCAAGGTGCAGGACACTGTAGTTTCATGAAATAAACCTTCTTGCATTAACATCAAAGACACTTACAAAAAGAGTCTCTAGTTAGGTTTGTTTGTTAAGTAACATCCACTTAAAATATAACCAGAACTTCCATTTTTCTTTCAAAGATCTGTGGCTGGATTATGTCAAGGAGGAGCTCAGTCATCCCCAAGGCAAACCAGAAAACTGTGGGAGCATTCACTGGCGAGCTATGAAGATGCTGCAGGGAGACCTGGTGGAAGATTTTGTTTCCAAATACACTTTATTGCAAACCGGACATTTATGAAAAACCATACATAGTTGTAATGTGACAGTGCATTTTTTTAACTTCTTTGTACAGAGGTAAATATGTTCCTAGATCTTATTAAAGTTTACCTTCTTTACATTCTGTGTGACAAAAAAAGAATCATCTGTTCCATTGCAGGCATTTCCAGTGTTGCTTTTGCCAGGGGCAGGCTTGAGTGCACAGTTAGAGAAAGCAAAAGCATCTCTGAGGGTGTTCTCATTGAGATTTCTGAGAACAAATTCTTCGTCCTGCCCAAACATTCAGATAGTTATAATGCATCAACTTTCACACTCTGGAAAGCGAATATTTCAGCACCTAAATGCAAAAAAACCCAACCCAAACCCCACACCCCTACTACACGTGTGGGCGATCTCCATATTTTACCAAGTTGAATAATTAGAAGTGGAACACTCTTCTATAGGTAATCAGAAATCAGTAAAAATACAGTATTTATTGTTTCCTAGCCTTGAAGTCATCTGTATTCCTCAGAGCCTCTGCAGTCTCCCCTTGCATTGGTATTTGCATCCTGAGAGTGACTGAAAGGTAGAGGGGAGCTGAGATCTGTTAGCACTGTCCCCGAGGTGAGAGCAGAAGGTTCTGATCTACACTTTTAACTTTCTGTCCACAGTGCCTGAAAAATGGGCACTGGCTTTTTTAAAATGTTGTTGGCTGTTTTAGAGAGCCACATCTTCCCATTTCAAACAGAGCAGAAATTCTATTCTTGGATCAGTAGGGAAATGTAAGGAAAGTACAGGAACATACAGCATTAGCTCCTCCATTTAATTTCCCAGAGACTGAAGGGTGACATAATGACCATACAGGGAAATATTTCTTCAAGATTTTTCACTCAAATAGAAACTGTGGCTTCCTCAGGCAATGAATTCCACTAACTTTTGACCAGCTAGAAGAGTTTGGAGCAGCAGCTTGTTAAGATTGCTCCTTCTGTGGCCAGATCTGGAGGACATCGTGCTTTGTCTTTTTCAAGACTTCAGCCAGGCCATCTCCCATTTCCCCCGCCCTAGTTCCCTGCCATCTCATGTCTGACCTTGAGATTTCCTTCCTGAGAATCACTTACACTCTCTCTGCCACTTACTCTGTGACTTCTGAATCACTTCTTGCTTCTTCAGTTGTGCAACTAAAAGCTTTTAAGTGCAAAAGGGTTAAAGCTTTTTTTGTTGTAAGTCCAACAAAGCCAGTAACTCCACCATTCCACAAAGTGGGCCCCTTTTCTTCACCTGTTCTGGTTCCTCACTGAATTTTGCCACTCACGTCAGTACCTGCAGCACCTCCCAGGGATCACATTTGCCTGACACCTTCTCGTGGAGCACCTGCCACAGCATTTCAGCCCAGGTGCTTCCCATCTCTTCATGCCTTATCTGAGCATGCTGCCGGCGCCAGGTGGGAGGGGTTTGCTACAGAGCTTGGAGAGGCATTGAGACTTTATTTACAGCTTCTTGAGAGTGAAGGTCCTTTCTCCCGGCTCTTAGGTCTGTTATTTCTGGATGCAGTCTCCACTACGTGGTGGTGTCGGGTCAGGGATGGGGCAGGATGGTCTCAGAAGTCTTTCCAGCCTTTCACAGTGGATTCTGTGAAGTCATGCGGTGTGTGTTCGGAGAGCCCCGGGGCGGGGGGCTCTGCGGGCTGAGGGGAACCGCAGTGTTGGGGTGGGGGGCTCTGTGGGCTGAGGGCAGTGGCTGAGCTGTACCGGGAGCAGCATCCCCCCTCAGCTCCAGCCTCAGGCCCGGATCCAGTTCCCTGGGCACAGCCGCGGGGCCCGCCGGGCGGGCGGTGCCCTGCGGGGCCGGGCGGGGCCGGGCAGTCGAGGGCGGTCGAAGGTGCCCTCAGGGGTCGTGAGGGCTCGCCCGGAGCCGGCTCTCGGCCGCTGGGCTCCCGCCGGCTGCAGGCCTCGCTGCCCGCACCCATTGCTGCCGCCTCCCTGCTGGGTGGGACTGCGAGGAGAACTCGCCGTTCCCTGCCCTGTGGGCACCATCAGGGCGGCCCTGCTGCTCTCCCGCCCCTCAGCGCTGCTGGAGGGTCCGCTCCGCTCCTGCCCCTCGGCGTGTGGGCTCCCACGTGGTGGTGGATTCACTTTGTCGTGTTTATATTTGTTCCTCTCCTTGTACCTTCACTGCCACCGTTCCCCAACGGGGTACGTTCCGCGTCAGTTTTGGGGCCCCTTCCCGGAGGTGGCAGGGGGATTGGGGGGTGAGGGAGGAGGCGGCTGTGCTGTGTTGCTGATGCCGGGGGGGACTGATGGCAGCGGCAGGATGAGCCGTCCCTCGGCAGATTCGCCCTCTGAAGTGAAAGCCTGTTTGGTTTTAAACCTCTGATTCATCATGGGAACAAATGGATGGGCTCCAGGGTGCAGAAACACTCAGATATTTGCAGTAGCAGTTGCGTGAACCGTGTTGGAGCAGTCAATGAAAGCTGCTGTTGAATTCTTTAAAACTCTCTTGTAGGTGATGGCCCGTGCCGTTGACACCACAAACCGTGAGGAGAAACAGCTTCCTAAAAAGAGAGAAACTATGATCTGGAAGCCCAGAAAAGGTAGGACCAAACAAAGCAGATGGCGAGTAATGAAACTTAGGCTTTGCTTGAGAAATTTATTTAAAACCTTTAGGTGAAGGGTGGGAAGTGCCTCTTCGGTTACTGCACTAAATTATTTTCATGTAGATATTTGCGTCTGCCTGGGTGCAAGAGCAGTTAATCAATATGACTGTTCTTAAACCAGAACCACAGTTTTTCAGCATACTTATTTTTTTAAAAATGCCTACAGGCGAATGTGGTGAAACAAGAAATGCTGGGTCCGTTTCTTTACTTTAAGAGTTATTTTCCAACAAGAGTGTGTGGAAAATCCTGAGTTGAGCTAGTGCTGTGATGCAAGGCTATGTCCACTGTTCCCCAAGCATCTGCAATGTGAAGCAGCTCTGCAGTGATACTACATGTGTTGGAAACTGCATATATTATAATTAGATTAGTAGTCACAAAGTGCATTCGTGTTCCTGTCCGAATTACTGTGTGCTGAGCATTTAATTATTCCTGTTTAATTTCTGAGTGTATCTGTTGATGCTTTCTGTTGGTTTTAGAATGTTTGCTGGACAACATTCCAAACATTCCTGATAGCAAGCCTGAGGAAAGTGAAGCCTCTGATACCTCTCCCAGTGAAGATGATGAGAGTGTCTCTCCTTATGACTGGTACAAGGTGCGCTGTTACCTGGATGAGGAGGATGATGAAGTCTCCAGTATACCTGACTCTCCAAAGCTGCAAAACGCTGCTGAGCACGAGGTGGAGGACTGGGACAAAGAACTGGAGGAGTCTGCATGCAGTCCTTATGGTGAGTACACGTTTACTTGTGCTTCAGTTAATTTTTGGATAGTAGGTGCTTTGCAGGAGAACGTGTTGAAGTAACTCCATGTTCTGTTTTGGGAAGGAGTTTCTTGTTGTGTTGACCTCGTGGACATGTAACAATTCTGCACAGTTTTGTTGTCAAACACAGGGTTTAAAGGTGGTGTTGTGAAGTTCACGTGAAAGTCTTGCTTGGGCAGTGGAATTCTTAGAGAGGGGCATGGAAAGGAGAATTCTATGTGTGTATTGACTTTCTGGGGAGAAGCAAGGTTTTGATGATGTATCTTTGTTACTCTGAAGCAGAAGATAAGGGTACATGGCGTGCAGGAATGTAGCTTTTTTGGTGTAAAAGTTTTCCTCCAAGAAAATTCAAGCTTCTACTCTATAATATCCCTCTAGAGCATGGAGTTCTTTGCAAGTACTCAGTCTCTGAATAATAGGGTTTGTTGCTTTTGCTGTAGGGTTGGCTTGGGTTTGTTTGTTTGTTTTTGGGGGTTTGTGTGGGGTTTTTTGTCATTGTTGGTTTTTTTTGGCGGAAGGGTTTTGTTTGTTTGGTTTTTTGTTTGACTTTATTGTTTGGTTTTTTGAAGCCTGATCCTCTGAAGTGGTCGTGCATGTGATCAGTCCCACGGGCGAAGGTGGCAGGGCACAGAAGCAGTTTTATCCACCTCTTTGGAGTTGAATTAATCCTCCAGCTTGTGACTTGTTTTTATGTCGAACCAAGAGTCTCAACCTTGCATTGGCCAGGCTGGCTGGGGTGTAGAACAGGTGGATGGAGTTCAGCCAGCAGTGGCTGATAACCTGCTGTGTCTTTGATAAAAATAGTGCATTTCCATTTTCTTCTCATTAAAGTGTATCTTTTTGTAATTAAGATGCTTTGCTTTGGAAATATGAATTCTCTGTTTATTTGGATTCCATAAATGGCTGTTGTATTCAAGTACCAAGTGGCAGAGTTTTTGCAGCCTTTCTGTAAAACCATTCTGATTTTTAAAGGGAAACACAATATTGGTTTTTCACAGTGGGTAATTTGAGGAAAAGACTGTTTCCTTTTTGGGTATTTTCCCTCTCTTCCAATCTGGGCTTTCCTTTTAATCCCTCGTCTGCTCAAATTTATGGTATGTTTTGAATTTTTTACTGAAACTGTCACAAGTTCTTTTTTTATTTTTTATTTCTTTAACTCACTCCACCTGTACTTATGCTTTTTAAATCCTCACAAGCTGAGGCAGCTGTGATTATGGGATTCAGGTGCTTGGGAAGGGTAGGGAGTACAAGTGTCTCAGTTGTTAACTGCTGCAAATAAGAGAAGGTGCTTGGTTGGTCCTTTTGTGGCATTTTAAAATGTCTTTTTAATCACTTGCTGTGCTGGCTTGTTCAGCAGTGCTGCTGGAAGGCTGGCAAGTGGAATACTGTGATGGGCCTTCTGCTCCCCGCACTTTGGGCTTTTTCAGTCCTTTCAGTGTCTGCTGACCAGAAATTCTTCCCTTCTGTTACCTTCCTGAGTATCTCTCATGGTGTAAACCTTTTCTTTTATCTTCTGTAGATGCTGATGATCTGTGCTGTGGAAGCTTTCAGGAAAATAATGTTCTGGCCTCATACGTGTGGAAGGAGGATTGGTTTTACCAGCCAGGCTGTCACCACGCAGCCTGCTTTGTCTCTCCACCACGAGTCAGGGGCGAGGTTGAGAGTGGCCAGTTTGACGATGCAGATGAGTGAGGCTGACCCTGGGCAGAAGTAAGTTTGGTTTCTGAGTTTGGATTGTGTTCTTCACTGACTGAGCCATGTCAAGTCCTTTGTTTGCTGGCAGAGTTCTGCCCAGGGCCAGAAATGCAACACCATCTTCCCTGAGCTGTTTGTGAACTGCCCACACTTGGCTCTGGAGATGAGAGTCCAGGTGCTGGCTGTGACAGTCACTGCATCTCTGCCGGTTTTGTTTGTGTTCTGTAGATCTGTGTTGTTACTAATTAATTGCTTGAGAAGAAGAGTTCAATTTCTAAACTTCAGATTGTTTATTTACAGGGCTTTGTGAGTTTTGCCATGCTAATCCCTCTGTGTCTGTAAGTTTTAGTTTCCTCTCCTTTTCACCTGATGCTGTCAGATGGATTTGAAGAGCTTCAAAAACTCTCCCTCCCTTGAGCTTCTCTGTTGTATTTCCACGTGGTTCTAGTTCCCATTTGTGATTCTGATACTTCTTATTACCAAAACCAGCTGTGGCAAATACAGAATGAGTTGTTTTGTGTTTATTTGTGTGTATTCCATTGTAAAGGAGTTACAAATACATGATACGTGTTTTGCAAATACACATGATGATGCGCAGTAGGGCCTGCTCCATCCAGTGGGAATGCTGGGTGCCCGGGGCTGCCTCCCAACAAAGCTTTCTCCACATCAGACCTCCTTGTTACATGGGCATATTAAACTGCAGTCCCACTGTTGTCTTTATTACATTCTCGTGCAGCATCAGATGTGAAATGACAAAGAAAAGGTCTCTGCTTATGTATACACACTGTGTACATAATCTGTGTGTCCTGCTGACAGTGGAGGATTAAGGTTCCTGAGATTGTTCTGCTGGTGTTTTGGTGGCCAATGAGGGGATGAGAACACAAAATACCTCCTAAGAGAATAGCTGGAACTAGAACCATCTCCTCCTTTCTTTGCTCTGGAATTAAAGGAGATGTTTTCAGATGAAGGATGTACGTGGATTGAACGGCTGGTCACCTGAGTAACAATAATCTTCACCTAATGCTCATGTTTCATTAATCACTTTTCTCTCAAGAAACTTTTCATGGTTGTTGTTTTTTTTTTTTTTTTTTTCATGTTTTGACACTGAACTGGAGCGCAGGACAACGTTGGTGTTTCGTTTTCTCATCTGATGTATGAGACCAAAATAATTCACACACTGGTTTGGGAGGAGGAAGTGGATGACACAGTGATATTTCCTTAATTTTTTTCCTAGAGAGCACGGGACAAGAGCTTTGCTTTGGATACCTTTCAATTCCTGGTTATGTGTTAGTACTTGGCAGTGGAAGTACAGAGTGGGAGCTGGTGTTGAGGTTGCAAGAAAGAGGGTCTGTTCTTTTATTCCTGTAGGGTGGAGTGACCTGGGGATTAATGTTTCCCCCAATAACTGACTCGTCAGCCAGAGTAAAAGGGTTGATTTGCATTTATAAATGCAATATTCATAAACACAAATCGAGTGCAGATACACTGGTAACTTGTAAAAATTCCGGTGAAAAGTCCCGGCTCGTTTTGTGAGCCGGTTTATCCCTTGCCCGGACTCAGCTGTTGTGAACGCCCAGCGCTTCCCTGCAGAGGGCAGCAGAAAATTGTGCGTCTGTCTGCCTGCCTGCTCGGCGTGTGCTCGTCAGGCGCTGTGAGCTCCCCGGGCTGCATTTCGAGCGCTGGGAGCAATTCAGATCCGTGTTCTGCAGAGCCCTCTTGTTCCCCGGAGAGGCTGATTCATGGCCCGGACTGGTTTCTCTTTTTTTTGTTGTTTTTTAAAATTTACTCCCAAGTTATACTTACTGGACTGAAAAATCTCTCCCCTGGCTGAGAGAACATCACTTTACTTCAGGCTTAATATATTGTTTTTTACTATGCTTGGGGGAGATATCCCACCGTATTCAATAAAGAGAAAACTAATAGAATTCTGTGGAAATAAACCCATCTTGGGTAGAATTGTTGTAGAAGGATAACCAAAAAGTCTTTATAACATAGATTAGGGTGATTTTTTTCTTAGAGTTCCAAAATTCCATCAGTACTGAATCTTCAAGCCATTTACCATGCAGCCTATAAATCAAGGTGTTTTTTCACCCTGTACCTTTAATTACAATCAGTCTTGTCTGTCTCCAAGGTTTTATTATTTGAGGAGAAACTGCATTGAATGGCTGCCTTGCTGAGCTGTTTGCATTTTAAATGATAAAGATTTGTTTCCAGTTCCCATTTAAGGTTAAAACTGCCACCACCCCCACCAGGTGTGGGGAAAAAACAGCAGGAGGGTTTTGCAGCAGAGATGCATCCTGCTCTCTCCAGGGATATGTTGGCAAATACAACTTTGTTCATCTTGGCTCTGCTTGTTAGGGCAGGGGCTTAATGGAAAGCTTGATCTGAATCCTCTCCAACTTCAGAGGGATTAGAAAACCAGATGCAGCCTCCTCAGAAAGCATCTACCTGGGAGGATTTGAAACCGAACTGGTGGATTCCAATGTTCCTGCTCTGCAGAGTGTTTCAGATTCCATTGTGAATCTTGCTCTGAGCCTGTTCTGTGTTGACACAAGTGTGTCGTGCTAGGCAGGAACACACTGCCTTTAAAAACAACATAAGGTAGCGTGTGAGCCAGCAATTCACACCGAGGGGCAGCCCTTCAGCCTGCTCAGATTATTGGAGGGGAAAGAGTCCCATCACAGGACCAAGATCATAAATCTTGCATGCATACAAGAAACACACTGGCAGGACATAAATCAGCTGAAAGCTCTTCAGAAGCGTCAGAGATTTCTCAGTTAGATGCGCACACATCTCTGACACAATTTTCCCCTTCTACACCCACATTATAAATGTCAAAGGACAGAGACCCTGCTGCAGTTTAATATGTTTGCTGGGTTGTAGGGAAGGCTTAGGAGTGGAGCATAGTATGGTGGCTTAGCAGAGCAGGTTGCAACTTTGATGCTGTCTTTGCTTTTCTTCTCATTTCCCCATTCTGTAGGTAAAGCTGAAGATACCAGCCAGTAAAATGCTTCAAATTCACCGAGCAAGACATTTTGTATAAATAGTGAGGTTTTAAAAAAAACAACACAGAGTTTTGCACTTTCTTTGAACGGGCCAACAAAGAAATGAAAACTTGTTTTGGGTGCATCTGTTGTTTCCTTTGAGACCTACAGGCAATGATTTGCAGGAGGAAATAATTGAAGGAAATGTGTTCATAGTTCCTGTTGATAAGGTACAGCACTTAATTCATACATCAGATTGAGAGGGTTTCTTGGTCTTACATAACCACAAAATCCAGCCCATTTTAGTGTCTTTTAAAGACCACTCCTTCACTTGTTATCCCATCTTTCAACTGGTGCGCTTTCACTCTGAAACTGAGAAAATACCTCCACTGCTGAGGGGGGACTGTGTGAGTAACTTCACAGAGTAAAGGAAAAATGCTGATGGCAGCAGCTCCTCCTGACCATCTGCTGCTTGCACAGACCCCAGTGGAAATCCCTTGGTAACAAAGGTCATTTTGTGGAGCTGGGTAAGTGCAGGCACAGGAGGGAACGTGGGGTGCCCTCTGTGGGTCTGGACTGCCAACAGAGACATTGGAAGCTTGAGTTATAGAAGATAAATCTGCACTGGAGTTGTTAGTCCTGGCAGTACCAGCTGCTTGGTTTCCCAGCTTGGCAGGAGAAACTGGAACCTCCTAAAAAAAGCTGCAAAGCACACAAACCCAGTAATTGGGTTTAGTGATGGAAACAGCTTCTTTAAGCACTTGGAATGTAGAGCCTCAGCGGGTACAAACTTTGGCAGCTCCTTACCCAGGCACAACCTCTGCCCTGTATATCCCCTGTGCAGTGCTGGTGTCATCTCTGAGCTCAAGCTCATGTGCAGGGTTTCCTTATTGCTGTGGGTTTTAGTCCTTAATATAATGGGCTTTCTTTGCATTCATTGTAGCTCTGTTGACCTTCACAGAGCAAAACCCATCAACGTGGCTCAACATCTGCATTTATATGGTAGCAGGTTGTCTTGGATGGTTTTTTCTCCCCACATTGATGATAGTTTCAGGACATGTAGCAGAAATCAGCCTAGGAAAGGTAACTTCTGTGATTCAGCAAGCCTTGATTGTCTGGCCTCAGTTATTTTAATCAAACCTTTTCTGATCTGCCTGCAACTTCTGTATTTAGAAATACTAAACATTTTCTCTGAGGAGTTCCTTCGGTTACTTAGCACGTACTAGAAAATACTGAACTTATTTGACCTCAGATAAAGGAATACCATTTCACCTGTAATCTTCATGCAGACACCACAGTAAATATGCCACATTGTAATATAGTTCTGGCTGGCTACAGTTGGTTGGGAATTGTGTAACTCCATCTTCCATGTTACATGCTCAGCTGTTTCTGGGGAAGTCCATAGGTGTGACAGTAAGATTAAACAGGACCTGTATCCCACAGCAGAGAGCACAGCCTCCTTCTGGGTAACTGGAGATTCAGAGAGCAAGGAAAACTCTTCTAGCTGAGCAGGTTGGTTCGCAGTGTTGGTGAGAGCAGGGTGGTAGAATTGGAATAGCAAGGTCAGAGGAACAACTGATAGTTCCAGCAGAAGCATGGGCAACAAATCCAGATTTGGTACAGGAATCTGAGTTGCTGCATTCTCCTTGGTACAGGAGAAGAACATGCAAGGGGACTTTGAAAGTTCTGTTTCAGCTGTGTTAACTCCTTATATCCTAAACTGAAGTGGAACAGGTAATCTGAAAGGGAAGCACAGAGGTGGAGCCTGCAAACAGCCACGTGCTGATTGAGCCATCAGCGATTTCTTGTCTGCTGTCACCACTGGGTTAGCTGGAATACCAGACCCCCCTTGTTCTCACTGTTATGTTTATCAGTACTTGCAGTTCCGTGTTCTTCAAACAGGCCATTATTTTCCTGGTCTGAAACACCTTTTACCATCTGTTTTGTTTAGTTCTAGCTTATCTGCATCATTCATACTTGATCTGTTTGGTTGGGCCTCCAACTTTGTAGTTTGCCAGAAATCTGCTCTTTTCAGTGGGATTGGTCAGACGTTATAAAGCCAGGCTGAGACTGCCTGTCTACCAGATAAGAACTACATTTAGTTCTATTATCTGCACTTGTGTTGGTAGGTGGATTAGGTTTAATTTGGTCCTTTGGAGAGAAGCAGGCAGACTGTTCCTCTGACAGATCTGGGATTTGGTTTGAGGACAGGCTTTCTTATGTGGTCTGTGAAGTGCCTCGTAGCCCTGTAGGAATACTTTGTGTGTCTGGTTCCTGCCTGCAATTTGGAAGGCTGACTTTAATGACTGTGCTTCTAATTATGTACAGAGGTAAATTCTCAGATGAAAGAATGAGGAGTTTCATCATCTGTCCCATTAAGGGCAGCAGGGTTTCTGTTGTGCAGAGGAGTGACTGCCTAAAAGTGGCAACTTACACCTGCAATGAGGGGGAGCCCTTCTCAGGCACCCTGACTGCCCAGGCACCTTCATCCCTGCTCTGAATAAAGGGTGTGTTGGCTTCT